CAGTAAATAAATCACAGTATAGAAATCAGAGTAAATAAATCAGAGTAAATGAATCACAGTACAGAAGAAAATAAATATCGACTAGCCAATTATTTAGCTAGGAGTTTCAGCGTTTCGCCACGGGTGGCGCCACCGGTCAAAAAAATAGTGGTACTCCGCGATTAAATGCGATTTTAACAGTGTTCTAGTTGTTTATTATTATTATCAATAATAGTGGATTAATCTAGGTACTTTCAGCTACAAATTGAGTGCTTCAGCTAAACGAAAGCTATCCGTATAACGGTGTAAGAGCTATTCAAAGTGAACTAAACGGGGTACGCATGGCGAGATACACTGTCAACCGTTGCAAACAAATGCGATTTTAACAATGTTCTTGCGATTACTGGTTTCCAGCTGTTAGAGAATAGTAGTCTACAGTTCTTTAAACTTCGAATATAATCCATGACGAGGAAAACTGATGCTCGTTTAGCAGTGTAAATCCGATCGAAATATGCGTACCCCGTTTAGTTCACTTTAAATAGCTCTTCCATCGTTCTATGGAGAAGTTACACCTTGATCAAGCATTCAGTTTGAAGCTGAAAGAACGTAGATTAATCTTCTGTCATTGAAAATAACAATAAACGACCAGAACACTGTTAAAATCGCATTTAGTCGCGGAGTACCACTATTTTTTCGACTGGTGGCGCCATCCGCGGCGAAACGCTGAAACTGCTAGCCATATAATTGGTTAGTAGTTTCAGCGATTCGCCACGGATGGCGCCACCGGTCCAAAAAATAGTGGTACTCCGCGATTAAATGCGATTTTAACAGTGTTCTGGTCGTTTATTGTTATTATCAATAATAGTGGATTAATCTACGTACTTTCAGCTACAAATTGAGTGCTTCAGCTAAACGAAAGCTGTCCGCATAACGATATAAGAGCTGTCCAAAGTGAACTAAACAGGGTACGCATGACGAGATAAAGTGTCAACCGTTGCAAATAAAGTGTGATTTTAACAGTGTTCTTGCCGTTTATTGTTATTGTCAATGACAGGGGATTAATCTACGTTCTTTAAGCTACCAATTGAATGCTTGGTCGAAACGAAAGGGGCAATGTTTTGAGATATAAATCGTTAAGATACGTTAACATTCGGCGCCAACTATTTTCCGGTGGCGCCAGTGACCCAGTGTGGTATGACCGTGGGGTCATGGAGCCCCCGGAGGACGCGCCAGAGACCCCGTGTTTGTGAGATGTACCCTCGCGAGCAAAGTTATTGAGATATCTGACTATTCATTATTATAACACAGATCAGGAGGAAATTTTTAGTACCATAATATTTGTGTAAAAAGGTCATTTACTACCTATTTTGTTAACAACAAGTTGGTACTTTTTCTTTTGTGAATATCTCATTAATTATTAACGGTGCTGGGGGAGCAACTTCAGATTCGGAAGGGGTAAATTGGGAGCAATTTTTTGCGACATAAATCGTTAAGATACGTTAAACATTGGTTGATATTGTCCCTTCTTAGATTTAACGTAGTTCACAAATTCACTGTTCTCATAACGTAGAGTGCAGCAGAAAATCCCTGACTTTTTACACTATCGGTATTTCAGAACATGAGACACGAAATCCCATAAGATGATAGGTCTATCCTATACCTAGTCGGTGGTATTACCGTTGAAAAAACTAAACAGCTTCTTTTATATGTTAGCGGGCATGAGCACTCTAGTTCCCTTTCTAGCCGTACAAAATTAGCGACGCCTCGATTCCGTTCTCGATCGGTGATTCAATCAGTCACGATATACGAGATATCGATTCGTTGCGCGGCAGTTCGCGCGGACTCGTCGGGATTAACCTCAAACGGACGCGCGTGCAAGGATAATAATCGTACAGGAGAGTTACAGAGAGGACTACGATGGGCGATATCTTGCACAATTGGATCCAAGTCAGGCTAGGAATCATGATCGATCTCGGGCCCAAGTTGTTCGGTCACTACACCAGAGACGGTAGACTCTTGGCGAAGATTTTGCACAGTTACGACATAATCAATCGTGATCAACTGGACATGATCGTGCCCACCCACGACCCGGCTATTTGCCGTGTGAATTTGAAACACCTGAGGTTTTGGTTGCGTTTCCTTGGGATCGATTGCGACGACGAGAGCGTCGAAGAGATCTCGTGCTCTAAAGGGACCACGTCGTTGCGTCTGTTCTACAAAGTCTACTTGTGCCTGGAGACCAAGGATCGATTGCACTTTATCACGCTCCAGAAGGAGAGGGAAAAGTATGTTCCGACGTCGCGGAAATTCGAGGTGAGCACCGTGTGCGAGGATCCACCGGCGTATCAGCCACCGGAGCATCCTCTGTCCAAGAAGCTGCTCGACGGCCAAGGTACGGTGTTCGAGTGGCATCGTTCCAAGTTTCCCGCGATCTTTCGTAAACTGAAGCGTGAAAGGGAGAAGCTCGAGGTGCCCGCTTGGGAGCCGTACCCCATCGTACGACCGATCGAGCATCGTGTTCCCGAGGTACCACCTACTCGCACGACGAGTCACAGCAAAACTGTACCCTAACCGTACGCGACTCGAGTCGTCTGGTCTCGTCTGTTGTCTCCCTGTCGCAGAAATCGTTACCGTTGGACGGACGGACGGAGGAGAGCGAGGAAGCGGATCGATTCACGCGGCGGACACGAGCTCGCGCGAAAAAGTTGAAGGAGTACGAGGAGAAAGAAATGGAAGCGTTCGAGAAAGAGTTGATTACGGTCGTGGAGGATCCAGAGATGGCGAGGACGTACGTCGCGTGGCTGAAGAGTCGCAGTAAACGCGCGGCGACCGTCACCGCTCTCAAGGCGAACATGCAGAAGACGTTGGTGAAGGAGCTCTGGGACCGGATCGAGTGCAGACAAGAGGAGCTCGTCGATAAAACGATCGCACGCCGTACGTTGGACCAGTCCAGGTACGAGAAACAGATGGTGACCAAGCTGTGCGAGGTACGGAACCAAATGAGCATCATGACCGAAAATCAGAAGATCCTCGAGAACATGACAGCGACGGCGAACGAGGTGGAGTATCGCGCGATCCACGAGCGGGTTAAGGACGTCGCCTCGAGACGGCAAAAAGATCTGGAAATCGAGTGTCAGCGTATGTGCGAACTACGGGTAAGACTTCGCGAGAAGAAGGTGCAGATGTTGGAGGAGAAGCATCGAAATCTTTGCCGCGAAACCGTTCTGGACATACTGAATCTCGCGATGAGGATCGAGGATTATCGGCAGATGAACGACGGAATCGTACCGCAGACGATATTACGGGAATGGACGACCAAGTTCGTCAGAGGCGAGTCGCTGTTCGACGACGATTTACCGATCGGGTTGACAAGCGGCGACTCGGCCGAAATAGACGTGAGCCCGATACTCGAGGAGTCGCTTCGTGTCAAACTCGAGAAGGCCAAGGTTTTACGGGAATCGCTTTTCGACGATTATCTCGAGTCGAGACCTCCGTGGAAGCAATCCTCGTGGTTACCAGCGGAGGACGCGACGGAAACGATGGAGCTGGGTCGAACGGTGCTCGGTTACGTCGTCCATCGACTTCTAAATTACATTCATCCACAGTCGAGCGACGTCGAGACTCGTGCCTTGCTCCCGAAACCGGAAAACATAGCGATTATTTTGGGCATTATGAATCCTACGATGCACGAGTCGTTTCGCGGGCTGCTCGATAATACCGATGTTCGTTTGGTACGGATGGAGGACGCGATCAATTACTGCCTGGATCGGTACAAGAACGAGTCCCTGGACGTCGAGTACATCGACGCGAGCGTGATCGCTGCTACCGACGAATTCGTCAAGAGCCTCGAAAGCGGCAAGCATCGGATCACGTGTCCGGCCCAACGTGTCAGCGTCAGTTCCAAGTCGGACGATGGTTACTCGCGTCGCGGTAGAACGTCCTTGCTGTTCAGGCGCAGCTTGGTCGAGAGGACGGACGGGGCAAAGACGTCGGAAAAGCAAACGCAGACACCCAGGAACATACCCCACGACGATCTTGATACGATGCTGACCGACTCGGCGTTTATCGGTAGACTGACGATCATTCCGTTGCTTCCCCTCGTTTCGAATCGACACGACGTTGTTCTAGATTTTAATTGTTCTATCTCTGCTAGTTTCGAAACTGAGGAAACTGGTTTAGAGTTCACGAAGTTTAGTATTATACAGGGTGTTTCGTTTAACTGGCAACGGTGGAATATCTCACGGAGGATTAAAGTTATCAAAAGAATGTTCGTGCGAAAGTTGTTTGGTACAAAAGGGGACATCACGTGGTGTAATATTTCTGTAAGTGTAGTAGTGGCGGAGATATCAAAGTCAAGTTAATTTTTTTAAGTGGAACCCTGTATTTTTTTATTCATATTATGATAGTGTTTGTACGAACATTTTTTTTGATAAGTTTAATCCTTCGTGAGATATTCCATCGTTTCCAGTTAAACGAAACACCCTGTAGAAGCAGGAAAGTAGTGAAATAATCGAACATACATCTACGGAATAGCTATTTATTACGATATTTAACAAAATTCTGTCTTATCGTAAACATAAATTGTTTATACGACCGTTAAGAAAAAAAACTTTCAATGTTTCGGAGTTAGGACTCGGAAGAATGTTTGTGGTTTTGAATCGTGAATTTGTATTCTATGGACCAATGAGAGGTACGTAGATCGATTGGAAAATTTGTTTGAACAACAGAGTTAGAACAATTTAAAAACTCTGGCGACGAGGGCATTCTTACACCGATCTCCACACGCAGGTAAGTGCGCGTACGAGTTTCTCGCGTTGGGCCAGCCGATCACGAACGATCTCGCGACCAAGATCCTCGTCGAGTACCTGAAGACTTTGGACAACACGAAAGGCTGGGCGTTCATCGACTATCCGAACACGTACGAGCAAATGTCGCTGCTGGAAACGGCTCTGACGGGTTTCAAGGTACCACCGGATCCCGAGCCGCTAGACTTCGAGCACGTGACGATAGAGGACATCGAGCCCAAATCTCCGCGAATGGTTTACGAGGAGGAAATCGATCCGAGCGATCACTACAGGCAATTCAAAATGAACTCTAGTATATTAACACCTACGATCTTTCGATGAATATTTCGGGCTGTCGCCAGAATCGCCAACGTTTCTCGATGTTTTTTTTTCAGATTGTCGAGACTCGTGCCGAATCCACTCAAACGGATCAAGGACATCGTGATACCGACGTTCGCGAATCTGTTTGTTCGAGTCTCGCAGAAACCGAAGAACTTCGAGCTTCAGGATTGCTCGTACGAGAGATTGAGTCGAAACGCGCCTTCGGTCGATAAATTCTATGCGTCCAGAGAGATCGGTTACTTTCTCTACTACACCAATTTGGACCGGACGACGTTGAAGAGATTGGCGCGGCTGGTGGTCGGTGAACAGTTGCGGGGAAAATCGTCCGAGGAATTGTTCGGCGACCTTCCGAAGAGCCGCGAACGAAGCAAGGAGCGCAACAGCGTCGGCTCGAAAGCGCCGGTCGTGCGACACATGTTGTCCGAGTCTAGCGAGGACAAAGACGTTTCGAACGAAATCACGGAAAGGGAAGAGGAGGCGGAGATCGAGATGGAGGAGGACGAGGAGGAGGTGGGACGCGGTGATTACGATTTGGAGCAGCGACGTGTCAGACCCGGCGAGGAGAATTGGGAATGGATCGAGTTTCCTCTGCCTTCCGTATTGGTCGAAATTCTCTCGGACCTCTGGCAGAGCATGGAACGGTGCTACGTCGACGATACGAAGGAACTGTTGCTCTTGAAGAGTATTCACTCGTCGGGCATCGTTCCGTACAAGAATTTCCTCACGAGGAACACGGCCGAGTTCATGAAACGACCGGACAACAAACAGGATCTGTTGCACCGATTTCATTTGGCTTTCAACGCCATCGACGGGGACGCGCGACACGACGAGGATATTAAATGCGAGCTGCATCGTCGTCTGGCCGATTTTCAGGCGGAGCTGTGGGAGATTTGCGACCGAAGACGACACGAGGCGGAGAACGAACGAAGGCGGTTCATCGACGAGGAATGGACCGTCTACGAGACGACGGTTCTTTTCAACGTTTACGTCGGTCTACTTCAGGCCGAGTTGGATCGATTCGTAGACACGATGCACCTGCTCGAGGATTACTATTCGGCGATGCTGGGAAAACCATTGCGGGACACGCGTTTCGCGAAAGTTGTCCTGCAGCGAATACAAGTGGGCGACGTCGATCCTGTATTCGTTCACGAACGATCGGCCCGATTTCTCCAGCTCGATGACGCGAAATCGACGACCGATCGAACCGAGACGAAACGGCCGAAGAGCAAGGCTGGATCCGTGAGAACAACCGTCCAGGTTCCTCACCAGGCTCCATCCCCTCCACCTCCTATCCTCGATTACATTCTTCTTCGGAAAGAAATCACGGATCTGTTGATAGACAGGGAAGCCCGATCTCGCGATCTCGAGGAGATTCGCGTTTTCAAGGCGATCACGGAGAACGTTCGTTACGCGAGAAACATCGTCGATACTCTGTCCGCGACGGCGATCGATTTCGTCGAGGGTGAAAACGTCGCGATTCCCACGGACAATGATTTCACGATCGACTCGAACCGCGGACTGGATCTCGCGTTGGAACGTCGTTACGCCGTCGCTTACGAGATCGATCGTATTCGCCAGAAACTGGACTCGATAGCGGCCACCGCTCACACGGAATTTGCGTTCTTGCTGGACACGATGCGGAACAGTTTCCATCGAATCTACGACTCCATTTTGGACAGGTTTTCTTTTCAAAATTCAGAAACTTCCGAATTCAAAATGGTAGAAAGCCTTTTCCCTACTTCCCTACTAGGGGAAAAAGTAACGTAGAGAAAGGTCCTCCTACCATTTGGTATTTAGAATTACTGAAATGTATGCCAAAGTAACATTCGATTTAACATTTATTTCACTACCTGAAATAAATTTGCCACGTGGTAGAGGACTTTTCTTCTACGCCGCTTTTTCCCCTAGTGGAAGCCGAGTTTGCTAGTGGGTGTAAATTACAAAGTTCGTCGTCCGAATGTTTTTCCACTTACGTTCATTTGTTTTGTATAAATTACCGCGTAGGTACTGGCGGGAGATGAAGAGCGTGAACGACATGGCGAACGTTTTTTGCTTCGCCATTGAGGAGGGTCGATGTCTCGAGAACGAGATGCTGCTCGAGGGTGATCGGTTCGTGATCCGATCGAACGTGTTCATGATGACGATTCCGCCGGCTAAGCCACCGGTGATCGTGAAGGAAATCGAGACCGCGTCACGGTTCCGAATAGCGCAGCTCTCCCGATTAATGGAAACGTTCAGACGGGTCGCTCCGACCGGTACCATGCCCGAGCGCGCGCTCGTATTTATCCTTCAAGACCTGGCCAGTCACGGAATGGACGAGGGTGAATCGATGGTACTCCCCTGTTGTTGGTACCAGCTTCGATCGACGGACATCTCCAGACTCGTCCGTAGTCTGTTCGAATCAGCAGCTTATGTCGACTGGCGTGAATTCGTGATTTACGCGATGGACTTACCGATACCGAGTTACCGAGACATTTTGATCGCGAGGGATCGGTTCAGGATACAGGATTCCGATCTGAAGGAGGTCGTGACCGCCCGACAATTCATCTGGACGCCGTTGTGGTTCCTCGAATACACCGAGATCGTCGAAAATGTGTTCGAGCGTCTGCTGGACGATTTCCAGAGGAATCGCGAGGAATTGTACGAGGAGGAGTTTTATCATTTGGATCTGAACCGATACGACTCGATGCCGTTGGAGAAGACGCGACGAAACTCGGATTGCGACTCGAAGACAGGCTGCCCCCTTAACGAGGAGACGCTCAGGCTCGCATTGGGGAAAGAATTGCTCTGCCGGATGTACTCGGTCGGCCGACGTATCGTCAACTACACCGCTCTGCTGTTGGCCTTCTGCAAGGCCGAGGATCCCCGGGACGGTTTCGCGAAGGCTCTCGCCCTTGTGATTGGGAGCCGAGTGTGCACGGACTTGGACGAGGGCGAGAGATACGTCGAGGAGCTTTACGAGCAAAGACGCCGCGAACGTCAGTCCCGGTTGTCGGTCGAGGTATTTACGAGTTTCCAGATGATTCCCACCGGACCGAATCCAGACCAGTTCCGTTACGTTTCAGGCGGTCGCCGAGGAGAACTTCGTTGCAGAGGGTAGCCCGGGGACGGATTCTTCGAGCACGGAAAAGATGAATCGTCCCATCGGAATTTCGAGCAGCGTATCGTTGCTTTTCGGCGAGAGCGACTTTAAATTTCGACCCGCGGATCAGGAATCGATCGTCTATTGGGTGTCTCTCGACGTTTGCCTCGTAAGAATTCTCTACGAAAATATTGAAACGTTAATGTCTGTTTTATGTACTGTTCGTTTATCGCGTTTTCAGACCGTTCTGGCAGCAGCTTTGCCGTCGTACCCGTCTAAACCGGAACTTTACGGAGCGTCGGAAAGCCTTCTTGACAGTTTAACCGCGGTATTCCGGGATCTACAGGACCCCGACCTCAACGACGACGGGAACGTTGTGTTGACTCATCGGCTCCTGAATCACGAGTTTATGAAGCAACTTTTGAACAGCACGAGCAAGTTCACCGTTAAAAATCTGGGTAACACGATGCAGGAAGTGATACGGACGAGGGAACTTGTGAACGTAAAACACTGTTAGTTTTTCGTTATTCCGTAACTCAGAGGACAACGACGATGTCGTACTCGAGTTACACGATTTTAAGGGGATAAGCTTTAACAAGATTTATTGTTTTGATACATCACGAGTGTAGCTTGTGAAAAATTGTAATGATCCGACCGTAAGTCGAGGAGATATCGTGTATAACACGCACGAGGATCTTTTCTTTATTCTCACGTTTTCTATGTTTTGCCTTTCTTGCTTCGTTTCTCGTATTCTACTTTATGCGTCCGAATATTCCTTGGACTGGTCCGATTTTTGCTGTTTCGTAACCGAGGAACCGCGTGAAATTTCGTTGTATTCCCGCCGTTTGCAAGAAACGATCCTCGCGCCCGTTTTTTCGCTCGCGAACGTCTCGACACGCGAGCGACGGATTTCGGTAACATGTCGATTTCGTTTTAATTCCGACCGCTCGCGTATCCTCGTTTTTATCGCTCTAGCATCAACAAAGTTGGACGCACCGCAAAAACGAAACGTTCATATGAAAATAAAAGGATTCCACGGAAAAAAAATAACTTCTTTTCGATACCCCTCGACCATTATTCGATACCATTGCGTAGTATTCCCAACGAAATAAACGAAAGGAAACTCAAACGAAGGATAAAACGGACGCGGTCTAACAATATTCGCTCACTTATCTCGGATCACCTAAAGATATCATCGATTATTCCGATAACAGTAGTGTACATGCTAGAGTCTCCTTAAAGTAAGTTGAAAACGCTTCAACCGGGGTGTACGCGCGCATCCTTCTCTTCGTCCAGGTTCGACGAGCTCGGGCGGAGTCGCGGCACGTCCTAGGAGCGAACGGCTCTGGATACCCGATCATGGATAATCCGACCGGTGGTAAAAGCGCGGCGATTAAAGGGCGCACGGTGTAGAAGAAACCGTTCTCGTTGTCTAAAAAATCGGAGATTGGCTACTTTCAAAGACTCGAGTCGCTCTCGACGGAAATTGCTGGGTGGAGACGCTTGTTTTTCGCATATAGGAAATTGGTCTAACCTTATTGTGCTCGCGCGCTCGTCCTCGCGCTCGTTTCCCGCGAGGTTTCTGTCGCCGTAACAAAGGTGCATTATTCACAGCCCATACTCTCACCCTTTAATGACTTAAGTAATGATTCGGATGATCGAACGCGCCGCGCGCGATTCCAGAGTTCACGATACTGGCGATGATATGTTTGTGTCGTGTTTCGACTTTACGACCAACGTAAGCTTAGCTTCGTTTTTGCTTTTCTTCGTTTCGAGTTATTCCGATACGGTCGAAAATCACACTTTCCTAGAGACACATCGAGCCCCCGCGTGACCAACGTCGGCCGTAGCGCGAAGTGTGTGTATGCATGTGTGTTCCGTGTATACGATCGACTAACTCGTGTGTATAAGTACGTGTGTGTGTGTGTGTGTGTGTGTGTGTGTGTGTGTGTGTGTGTGTGTGTACGCGTCTCGAGGAAATACGTATAAAATACCAACAACGAGAGTTCTCCGCGCAGGTTTTCAACGTTCGGTCGCGTTGTACGCTTAAGTACCGTTTTCATTCTATATATCCGGAAACAAATCTTTCGCGGCACGAAAAGAAAAAATAAGCTTCCCCCATCCCTTCGGCCAGGGTAGCATCGTTCGCCGATCTCTGAACGAGACTGTAGGTAGTTTGCTGCTCGAGGTGACGACGAAAACCGTCACTGTACCTAACCTATGGAAATTTTCCTGTTTCTCGCGTCACAAACGATACCAAGAGAACGCAGACTTCAATAGTGGAAAGGATATCGCGCATCATTCGGATCGACGCGGAAAATCCACGGTTTTGAGCACGTCTGCGCGAAACTCGACTGAAGCCATTGGCCTGTCCGATACAGAACTGTTCTAAATACACGACAGAGAACCGAAACTATTCGAACTTATTGGCGTTTCGCGTAATGCGATCCTCCAAAAGCAGCTTCGGACTTCTACGAATCGTACCCACGAATCCGTGTGAGTATGTATACCTCTATATGCACGTGTACATGGATATATATATATATATGTATATACCTATATATATATATATATATTGGAATATATATGTATATCGTTAGTAGTGGATTCTGAAAAGGATGGCGGAGCATCTTCTCCCGTTCCGCTCGACGCACGCTTCTCTCTCGTTTTCTTTCACCTTCTCGCATGCACGCACGCACGCAGCCACACACGCATTCTCCTTTGGCACGTTAGCTCGTACGCTACATTCTACTTGCTCTTCTAGCCTATCGTTGCGATAAAAAAATACGAGGAATAAAAATATATCACGTAACAACGTTTCTCTCGGTTTCCAAACCGGCGACCGGGGGCTTACGAGGACAGCGATCGCGCGGGCTGTCGCGAGAGAAACCAACACTCGCGAGAGGATGTCAAGCGATTCCAACCCTTTACACGCGATTCCTCGCTGGTAGTCCGTTGGGGGTTGGAAATCTTTCGTTTCGAATCTCGCCTGTTTCGATCGAAGTCGGGTACGATTCGAGAAGAAATCGTCGGGGACCGTTTTAACGCGATTCGACGTGCAGCCGTACAGCTCGGACAAGCATTCTCCTTCCTTTGCTCCCTCTCTGTTCGCTGTTTCGTTCGAATCGGTTCCGTGAAAATCCGCGGCGTGTCATTCATTGGAACCGAATACGGGTCGCGTGTCACGAGCGTAGAATTCTTCGGGACTCGTTCGCTACCCGATCCACGAGAGCCATCAGCTGGGTTGGGGAGGGGTCAACTTCACCAGAAGCCAAGTGTATAATTTCGGCTTTTGTTTGTCGACCAGCTCGTACTGGAGATTGCTCAGTCCGTCCGTGGTGAATCTTTTCTTGCCCGTTTTCAAGTACTCGTACCTGCATAAAGAAGAAAAAGTCGAGTAGTGTTCTATCGGGTCCCTCTCTCTCTCTCTCTCTCTCTCTCTCTCTCTCTTTCTCTCACCTTTTCGGGTTCGCCTTCTCTTTCTTGTGCGTTAGCATTTTGTACCGCGCGACGTTCGCCGGATACCGTGAAATGTGGAGACCGTGGGCTTTTATTCGATTCGCCATGTCGTCGTCCTCGCCGCCCCAACCCCAGAACACGTTGCTGAATCCGTTCACCAGACGGAACTGTTCGCGCGACATCGCCGAGACACCGCCGAACAAATCGGCGTACGGTAGTCTGTGGAGAAACGGTACGGTAACACTTTCGATGCTCTTTCTCTCTCTCTCTCTATTTCCAGACGCGATACAATCGAATACGAGTCGATATTCTGGGCGCGCCAGAGAATACGATATACCTGTATTTGAACTTGTCGACTGCAACCGACATATGCCTGGGCTGCTCGGGGCAGGTGTACAGATTCCTATCGTCCTCCGGAAGTAGGTCAACGTCGTGAAAAATGAAACAGTCGAAAGGTCGTTCCTTCAATGCCTCGATGTAGCCCACGTTCATCAGCATCGCCCGGTTGAAGGACTCGCTGCCTGGAAACGAGAACGATAATTTACCTTGTCGATCTTCTCGCGATCGACGGCCTCGTAGAACGTGCCCGCAGGTGCGCACGCATGTAGGTCGATCGAGGCGCAACGCGTAACGCTTGAGATATCTCGTCAGAAGGGAAAAAAACAAAGGGTGATGGGCGATTATCGTTGCTCCCATGAATTTTCCGCTCCGACGATCCCCCGTGTCTATTTTCCTGTTGCTGAACGCGACGGCTCGAAACTGTACTCTCGAATGTCCGCTACGGAGGGGGTCGCGTGTTTCGGTAATTCATCGGCGAAGAAACAACAAAACTACAATTACATCCCCGTTGTAGAGTTAATGTTTCTTTCGAGGGAATGCAAGAATATTGTCCCCGATCGATACCGATCTAAATATCGGCGAAGAAACAACAAAACTACAATTACATCCCCGTTGTAGAGTTAATGTTTCTTTCGAGGTAATGCAAGAATATTGTCCCCGATGGATACCGATCTAAAAAAAAACCAGATTGTATCGATGTTTGCAAAGAACATTATATCGATGTACACTAATGGAATTTATACCTGTTTATTTGATAAACGATAACGCGTCGTATTGATCGATTCCGATAGTTACGCACAACTGACGCGTTATCGGTGCCAAGACACGCAACGAGCCCCATGATTTCCCGTTAACGAGGGTACGTTCCCGTAGTGTTACGGTAATAATGCGAGTAACGTTCTTCGATGTTCCCAGCGTACGAATCCGAACGATATTAACGGTACCACCGTGGCGAATCCCACGACAACCGCGACTAATTGCATCACACCGCGTCTTTCACACTCTCGCGACTTCACGTCGGATCCGATTGTTCAACGAACGACCCTGACATCTCTCCGCGATAGCTCCTTGCAAGGATGACACCCCGAAATCTATATTCTAAGCTTCCCTTTTCACTTCTATTTCCTCGAACTGAATATACTTGGATCACAGAACGGAGTCTGTTCCATTAATTCCCATCCGTGGAATCTAGAACGCTTCGCGCGATAAGGAATTCCACCGACGAGCAGCGTAACCCCTTTTGTTTCCCTTCGAAGCGAACCCGGCAAATCCTCTGAAATCCTCCTCCGCATATCCTTCCCTATCCAAGCACCATTGGTAAAACGATCGAAACGCGACCAATCTAATATCCCCGTCCCGATGACAACCAACGACACACGGTGGTCGTTCAGGCGAAAGAAAATCCGCGCAACGAGACTCAGTGCCGTCCAGAGATGCCAAATTTAACCCTCTCGAATCACTGAATTTTGTAGAAAGTATGGGTCATATATTATCTACATATTTTCGTATAAGTATTAGTACCAATAATCGCCACACGGTGTGCAGGGCGTAAATGATCTCAACAAATAATTTCTACAAAATTCATCGGTTCGAGGGGAATAAATCTAGCATCCCCTGTGCCGTTCGATAAAAGTATTCAAGATAACGGCAATTATGTAAAGCCAAGTAATTCGGTGGCTGACTGCTTTAATCTCGACAAGCCCGTCCAGGAGGGAATTTAACGGTCAACGGGTGCTCGGGGGTGGAAGGTTAGGGGAGGGAAAAGAAAGGAGCAAGATTTGAATTGCAAAGAGCCGGCTACGACGAAACGGTAATCCTGGCCGTTCGAAGCAATTAAAGCCACGTTAAGGCTGCTCCCTCGAATCGTGACTAGCCGGATTCGACGACGGTCAACGAAATCAAGGAAAATAGCCAGCGGTGTCGCGATGTGTGTACAGGTGCATCGAAAACAAGCCGCCGATACCGCATTGCGGTGTACGCGTAACGTTGCTTCTTCCGTCTACTCGGCGATCCGGTTACGCTACGAGCCACGAGTTACGTAAGGAGGGTTGCCGCGCGTCTCCGCGACCCTGACAGTGAATTTTTTCCGCTTGCTCGCGTCGATTCGAGGCTCGCTCGTGCCAAGCACCCACGAGGATCTCTACGTTTATCCCGTGGTCCTCGAGAACACGGATGAAATCACCACCAAAAGCGCATAGGTCCTTGTGTAAAATATACAGAGTGGTCCACCAGAAATCGAACACCTAAATTTTTACTTCGATATAAAGTTATGAAAATACGTTTCGGTACAGAGTTGAAATTCCTGTCCATCTGTAACTCTATACCGAAATATACTTTCGTATCTTTGTATCCAACAGATATTTAGGTGTTCAACTTCTCGTGGACCGCTCTGTATATTCGCGAAAGTACAGAAAGCAATTTTAAAATTACACGAAATGTTTCCGTCGAGTCGTAGATTATCGTGGAAATTTCAATGATCGCGATGGGGTTTCTACTCGATTTCGTCTCTGTTCGAAGGATATTGCGTTCGTAGGAGCTCGATATACACGGTATAAACGCGACGCTCACCCTTTTGCTCGACCACAAATATCTGATAGTAGATCTGTTGACGGAGCAACATCGGATGAAGGTTGTAGAGCAACGCCTGAAGATGTTGCGGTCGGTCTCGAAACGGTATAACGATGGCAACACGATGTCTGGCGACGCAATCCGCTGGGTATCCTCTGCCGCCTGGTTTCACGTCGGTGAACCCCTTTTCGATCGCAGACAGCTCCGGTGGCGATTTGCTGACGGCCAGTGGTCCAACTGGGAAAATTAACGATTGCAGTTCGCGAGGCGTCGACACGACTAGCTATGTTTTTGTTAAATAACAGTGGAAGCAGAAAAATAAACGGAGAATGAACGCGAACGAGTGACGTTTCTCGTGGACGTAAGAAGCAAACGGACGGAAACGATCGAAGGATCGAGATACTTTTTATTTATCTAATTTACTGGGATAATTCCAGTCAGAATGCAAGAGAAAAAAATGTAACGATGTTTACATAAAATATAAATCGAAGGAATAATAAAACTTAACGAAACATATAACTGGAAAATACAGAAGAGAAAACTGAAATTATAATTACAAGACACTTCAACCCTTTGCGGTCGTTTTAAGTTATAATTTTCGTTGAACGTAACAGTAATACATAATATGCAAGATTGTGAAGGAGAAACAAAATTTATTAATTCTTTTTTAAACTTTAGATACATGTAACAGAATAATATGTTTTAATTTTATGTGAAAATTATATTTTATAGTTCTGGTGGCTGTGAGTAGACATACCACCGCAAAGGGTTAAACTTGGTTTCCGAAATCCTGGATAGAGCCAATAAAAAAAATCAAGATTTTTACAGGACTTACCAAGATTCGGAGGAATGAGTGGACATCGTTGCAGCACGGTGCTGTTCGCCGTCGAGTTCCCCGTCGAAGCTTCCACCGAGCTTCCGACGATATATGCGTTTCCTGTCGAAGAAACCGCTTCCAATTTCGTGAAGTTCGATTGGTTCCTGCCGGCCCAATGCAAACTGGTCGCGGTAACATTGACGTTGCCGAGTATACTCGGCGGCGCCGTCACGGGCCCGTATATGATCAGACCTCGCGGATGATGCCTGTACGTTCGATCGGCATACCTGAAAACAAACGAATCGCGTTCAGCCGAAAGAACAAAAAGAAAATAAACCACGGGCCCGAGTATTTTTAATCGGAACCAAATCGAGAATGTTTACAGCACGATAGACACGAACCGGCACGGCGATTTATTCTCGGCCCACGTTCGTTTTAGCCCCAAACCTTTCGAGCCATACGTAATTCGCTCTCTAAATATCTATCAAAGCGAAATCTAATTAACACTTTGACTGTCACGTTACCCAAATATAGATGACACGTACCTACATTGCAACTAGAGTGGATTATTTAAACACCGTTCCAAACTTTTTCCGTAAAATTGACATACCAGTATAATTTTATATATTGTTATATAGTTCTTTCTCCGTTCCTGTTTCCTATTCCGTTATAATTAGGCATTTCTTTCTGCATAATAATAAGTTTCTGTATATTCTTGTAAATATTTCTGTGAATTATTTCGTTTCTTTTGTTGTCATTAATTCTTCGTGCAGTCCCGTAGAGTTTCTGTTAAACTTTCTATAGGTCTTTGTAAACTCTATTATATCTTTACGTATCACTGTATATCTAAACTTTCCGTTTATCCTCTAGACTTCCATATACTTGTACATAGTACCAAAGGGTTCATAACCCATTGATAAATAAATATTATTATTTGCAACAATACCAACCTCTAAACTGAACGTATATATTTCCGAAGATTAATGACTAACTTAAAAACCGAATAAAATGTGTCTGGTTACATACGGCCTTTTCCACTGTGGCAGTCACCGTATTTTGCGTGTTCTCGACGTCGAATGTGGGGTACGCGTGATCGATCAATCGGTCTCTTCAGATCGTATCCCATACTCTATGCTCTAAACAGCATTCCACGACGGTCAGCAAATCTATCAGACGTCTAACAGCGGCGATAATTTCACCGAGACATCCGTCGATCCGATAGGAACGTCGAGAGATTCTCGAATAGATCACGACCGTTCGGCGTTGATAAATACATCGGGGATGCAAACGAGTCGATTCTCCTTCGACTACGGAATCGACGAGGAACGGAGGAGTCGCGTTTATCGCCCGGTTAATTCCAGAAATTACGGAAGAGAGAAATCGGTGTCCCGTTGCATGGGCCAGGTAACGCTGACGCTGCCGGGCCGACACGAGGAACGGGACGATCACCGTTGGCGATTGCGAGGGCTTCTCTCGAGAGCTGACTCCGCGGTATTCGGTAATTGCAACGAGTCGCGAAATCGTTTGGAAATTGACCTCGAGCGTTTGCTTCGACTCACGATTAGCTGGATCTTCGAGCTTTTTCTATGGCCAGAAATTGTTTCCCGCGATCGTTTACAGGGTTGGATAATTCGTCCTCTCTTAGCTGTGATTTATAGAAAAATTAATACGATAAACGGTACAGTAAAGTGTACTCACACGCCAGGATTAAGGGCTAATGACCAAGTTTATCAACTTTCCACCAAATACCGACTGGATAAGGGTGGTCCAAAAAAATAGGATTACGAAAAATCGAATATCCAAAACGAAATATCCTTTACCGTTTTGTAATGTGAAGCTCCATTTACGAGATATTAGCAATTAAACGAACTCCGATAAAAAAAAAACAGAACCGTCGTTATTTTCGTTCGACGTAGCCGTGTTTTCTTTTTGTTTTCCTCCGAAAGTTCGAGAACGAAGTGCCGGGTAAACACTGTTCGGCTGTGACCCGAAACAGAAACCACGAGTACGCGCGTTCAATTTCGGATCTCCCTTTGGCCGAATAAAGTTCCCGGAACATTCAATCTGGCAACGTGCGCCGGCACTTTTGGCCTACGACGAAGTTTAAAAGCGGCTCCTTCGAGCGTTTCAGCTTGCACGTTTCAGACCGATGCTTTCGAATACGCTCTATGCCATCGAAAACGAACCAGTGAAGTATCGTGTCTGTCCGAGCTATAGCGACTTCGTGAAAACAATAAGGTTTTGGGTCCTTCGGGTCTTTAAATGAGTCAAGCGTCCAGGGACAGCCAACGTACTTCGTGGTTAGTAGTTGTTAGAGCCTTAGAAATATTCGTATATCAAAACAGATAGATAAACTTTACATTTTGTACCGTCTTAAATAGTTTTACAAAAAAAGTTCATAAAAAGTATTCCAAATTTGAGGGGGAAAAATGGTATGTCAGTTCTCCAAATGAGAGGATCACATTTAAAGTCATAGCTTGGAGAGGCATCGTACGTATGCAACAACAAAAAGGAAGCGGTAATTTTGGTCTTTGGAAAATCCGCTGGGAGGAAGCTGCACCACGGATGAACGGAAAGATATATGTACCATGTTCGGCCAATTTGATAGCGCAGTTACAATTGTCCGCGAGACGATTAAACGTTGGAGGTCGAGTCGACGGGACGCAACGCGTTGAAAAATGAACGCGCGTTATCGCGGTGCCGGGGTCACGCGGATCGTACGTCGGTGGGGGGCTTTTCCGTGAAGTTCGATCGATCGTTTCGAAGCGAACGACTACGCGGATAGGTGTACCTGTGTACATTTGCCTGTACGGGAAAAGTTCGCGTGGCGAGTAAAGATTCGGTTCGGTTCGACGAGTAGGTCGGCTGCGGCGAGCGATAATACGTACTCTCACGAGCAAACTCGGCTTTCGTTAGGGAAAAAAGTGACATTGGAGAAGGGCCTATTACCAAGTTGGTAAATTTATTTCAAGTACCGAAATAAATGTTGAATCGAATGTTAATTTGATATTAATTATTCCCGATATTAAATTACAGGAGGCCCTTCTACTACCCCACTTTTTCCTTTAGAGGAAGCTGAGTTTGCTCGACAGGGTACACGATATGACTGGCATATTGGCGTGGCTGGCAAGACGGATCGGTTGGTACGGCCATCGTAACGTTCCGGGTAACGGCACGTACACCGGTAATGTGCGACCGAATTAACATTCATGGATGTATCGAAGGAGAAATATGGGAACAATCTCCGCGGCGATGCGTTCCCGATAACAAATAACAGTAATAGCGGCGAGTGTCAGAGACAAGTCCCAATGTGCGTGCACGCTTGTGGAAACGCTAGGTAGGTTGTTTGCATTTACGCGACACGACGGTTCGCTAACTGCACGCTATACGTTAACCGTCGTGGTACACGATACATACGCGGAGAGTTGATCCTCGTGATTCGAACCGCGAATTTCCAATTCGTCGGTAAACTTCAATATCGTCACGTGGTTAGATAGATTTTGCGGAAACGGAGGTTTACGTCAGGTTCCGTTCTTTATCAATTGAAACGAAGAGTTTTATATTCGATCGTCCGGAAAGTTCGTAGAGTTTTCAAGGACAGAGTTAGAATCCTATATTTTTATACAATACTGTAGGAGAGGATTTTGTGCGTGTTTGTAAACTCGATGTATGAACGACGAATGTTTGGAAGTAAGCGAATGTTTAAAATAAGATTTGTTTAGCTGCGTGTGGAAGAGTTTCGTGTGACTGTTTAGATCGGGTGATTGGAATTTCTGGGAATTGTTGCGTAGTTTGAGAGCGAGGGATGCAAGGCTTGTGTGTGTGTTGTAAGTGTGGATGCTTGAGAGGGCAGAGTGCGTGGTTTCAGGGCAGTCGTTGGAGAAAGGTCGTGTGGTGAGATTGCACTCGGAGAGTTGTCTACCGTGTTGTGTGTATTTTGAATATTTTGACTATACTATTATTTTATTTTAAAAAAAAATACATATATGGACCGTTTATTTTGAAAGTGGTGCAAGTCCATTTTCCAATTCCATTTCATTTTAATTTAGTTTACACTAAATTAAGTATAAATTACGTCATTGACCGTTTATTTTGCAAGTGGTGTAAGCCCTTTTTTTAAAAAAAAATGAGATATGACGTAATTTATGGAATTGGAAAATGGACTTGCACCACTTTCAAAATAAACGGTCCATACATTGGAAATCTCCATTTAATTTCCAACAATACTTGTTAGTGCGTGGTACTGTTCCGTTCTTTATTAATCGTACCGATTTCGTAGATATTGTTTGTCCTGTATCGATCGGAAGGAAGAGTCGGTGGATCGAAGATGAACGGTCGAGCGGGTACGAAACAAGTTGTGTTAATACGGGACGCGTGGCAGGAAACGACGTGAAACGCCGACAAATAACTACAAGCTCGGCGTGGCACGGCGCGCACCGATCGTGATGGCGATGGAGGGCCTTCTAGCGCGACGAATAGACGAGCCACGGGAATAACAAATTGTTGTCACGCGCCGCTGGCGAAATTTCAAATTAACCGTTACCGGCTGGCTCGTAAATCGCTCAAAAATCTCGCGAATAAAATCACTCCGTGACGCGTATTACGGGGTTTTTCTTTTTTAATTAAACTCACTTCCCCCCTGTTGTCGGTCTTTCGAAAGATATTGAAATTACGCGGGAGACGCCCGAGCAGCGAGAGAAAGCAATCTCTCGAAGAAAGGGAAATAGTGAGAAATTTCTCGGTCGAGCGACACGGCGGCGTTTATGCGTTGTATCGCGAAGGTAAACGCGTCTCCGAAGAACACAATAACGACGTTCTATGCACCCGTTACGCGCGAACGACCAAACACCGCGTGCCCGAGAGAACTGTGTCTTGTCTCTTTTATATTTTCGTTCCTTTGCGTCCCTTTTTTCTCCGTTGATTCGCATCGCCGCGAGAAACGATCGCTTCTTTTCGCCAACGATGTCTACTGTTCCACAGTTATCACGCGTAATGTGTCTAAAGAATGTCCTTCGTTCAGAGATTTTCTGTAACACGATAGCGGCGTAACAGCCTAAAATTTCCAACGGAACAGCTACGCTCGCGGAATGGAAGCTTTCGGACGACGCCATAGGTCAAAGGATCGCGAGCAAACCGTTTCCGCAAACGGACAGTTTAAATGACCACTAATGAAGTAACGAGGTCACGTACATACGTTCCTGAAATGTACGGTGCTGGCTCGCTCGGGACGATGAATTTTCGCGAAAATTTCCACCGAGGAAGTTGCGCAATTATCGTTGGACCTCGGAAAAGGACGGTTCTAATTTTCCCCGCGATTTTCCACCGAAAGTTAAAAGTTCAAATTTGTCCTCTGGCCCGTTGGTATATAATTCAAATTCACATCATAAAAAATATATATCGTCACCACTATCGACGGCTGATGTACAGACACCTCGGCACTGAACATTAAATATTTCATAAACTAATGGCCGTATGTAGATGAAATAAATATCATTGACTCGGGAATTCTAAGCTCTATCACGGTGCTAAAAATCATTAAAAAGCCAGCGTTACACCTGGGGATACTTCTCCTTGTCAGTGCCGAGGAACCTTCGAACACTCATCCAGGATTTACTGTAATTAAATTGTTTCTTTATATTCGATATCGAATGTCTCTGTGGTGCCACGAAGTCGCGTAGCGTGGTCGTTAAGCAGCCACTTTACCTTGTTATCGACCAACTAATAAGATTTCCCGCGAGTCTACGAGCTTCAAAGGACGAGAATCGATCAACGGCGTAACCCCCGGTCGCCTGTCCGTCAACCCACGTGCACCAACCTCGTCTAATATCCCGACGAAACTGACGGCCCCATTTCGAATACCAATTCCGACGATAGGTATAACAGCCTGGCTATCGCGATGGACGTCTATTTACGCTACTCTCCTCCTGATATCAGCTACGAAATGCAGTCGGAACTTTGCGAAATCTGTTTTCCTTCGAAATATAATTCTTTCTGCGATCCCTTGAACAAAATTACCAGTCTCCTTTGGTGCCGATGTTTCACTCGTTTTAGGAACGAATTCAGTTATTAATCGTTGTATCTGTGTCTTGTCTAGGCTATTACACAATTCTCTAAGAGGTCATCAATGACTTCAGGTCACGTCAAAACTTCCCAGCTCGATCCTCATTAGGATTATATTTGAAAAACGATTACCCAATTTACCGACCACATCAAGACCTTCGAACAAAAATATTTTCTCCGAAAATTTACGTCGATCCTATTAAATGAAAACAGATCGTGCAATAACCAGAGTTGCTGGTTCGGCAAGATCGGTACTAACGGAGTATTTATAATGTGTTTTTGTCGGTAGATAACCAGACTCTTTCGGAAATTCGTGAAACAAGTCTCACCGTACGTACCTAGTAGTGTTAATGGTGAAAATCGTTTCGATTGAACGGCGATCGATCACGCCGCTAAGTAAATACTGAATGGCGATCAGCGCGAGGACGACGCAAACGATCGCCTTGTAAAGGTGGGCACGATGCCACAGTGCCACGGCTGCCGCCGCAGTCATCGCATGTGCGAGACACCATAACTCCTTTCTATCGCCGTTAGAAGAGCGCCGTCCTGGACGAGGCGCTCCCTTTTGGCCGTGGTTGCCGGTTTCGTTGACGTTCTTCTCTCTTCCCGCCGTCCAATCTGCGCAGCTCTGTTTCCCGGAGGGCCGCCGACAAGGCTCCGAATTGTTGGCCCTGCCTCTGTCCCTGTTGTCGTCGCGTTCTTCCGCTTGCCTGGTTACGGAACGACCGCAGAAACGAGCCGCGAGAGGAACAGGACCGAGGGAAAGAATAGGCCGCCCGGGGCTTTTCACTTCCGGTCACCAAGCGCATTACCCTCCTGTGCTGGTGTGCACTCTCAGCACCGCCGCGGCGCCTTCGTGCTGTCCTAAGAACACAGAAGAAAAAAGAAAAGAACAATTTATAATTCCACCGAGCTCTCGCGTGTTTTCGTGGCTCTGTTCGATCGTCGGCATAAACACACACGATGTTCTCTACGCCGCGAGGAAGGATAAGGAGATTTAAATTTAATAAACAAAGCGATAAAGAAAATACCGAATTTTACCGAGGCCAGGATTTATGCACATACTACGATTCTAGATTGCAAATGTTATCGCACCTGTCAGGTGACATCCTCGTGAAAGGGCAACGGGATTACTTCGCAGCTGTCGAAGTAGACACAGGCGTTATCATCGTTATCTATGATCGACGGAAAAATGTCTATCGCGCGAAAGTCAAGTACGACCGGAAACGCGACATTGCGTCCACCTACGATGGGAAACGCGTGGCGGGGATGTCGAAGAATCACGAGGAGCATCGATAAGATAAGGAGCATCGTTACGCGCGCGTGTTCCACGTAATAATGAATGTTCCGAAAATTTGATTAGATAGAGCAACATCCGCTTGTTAAAAGTCATCGAACGGTCGGTTACCACGAAACAATTCGTGCTCTCGAAAACGTTCGATGTGCCTCGAAGCCCTCCGGTTCTGGTGAGAGTTTCGTCCTAGGAAAAACGATACGGTCGAACGTTGAACCCATCGATAATTTATACATTTAACAGACGGTTGTATCTGTTTAACGAACGAATCGGACAGGTACACGAAACGTGAAAAGAATCGATAACGTATTCGGTCGGTACGCGCGTTGGAGCCTGAAATTGGTTTCCGCTTATACGAAGGAACGTGCCACACGATCCTCCCTCCGCTTGTCTCTCTTCGTACGAAAGAAAAGGACATCTCGCCACGAGAAGCAGATATATAACTATCGGAAAACGGATTCCGAATAAAGATTCTTCTAAGTCTAGGATTCTTTTCAATGAGAAACTTCTCGAGCGTTCGGTCACGGACGGACAGCTTTCGTGGCTCCGAACCGCTGATCGTGACTGCCTCTCCCGGCCAGCTGGTACACGCAATCTTGCCCATTACGCCCCGCTTCTACAGGAACCACGTTTCCGATAACGTATGCAAATTGTTTGATCTGTTACTGGTCACTTCGCTCGATTCCGCGTTTCGACCGATAGATATTTCCACGTAACTTCGATACGCGCGTGTTTAAATACTCTCAATAAACGCAGATCTCGAATATACGATGGACGATCGAATTTCTCTGAGCATTTTACAGAAACAGGGAGAGAACTACCGAACGGTGTATCGATACTGCCGTGAATTCCGACGGAATTATTCGTAGCCGCAGGAATTTTCTATACACGAAATAAACGGAAACGATCCCCGGATTGTTGATAACGATCGGGTTGTAGAGCAGACAGCGCGTGCGATCGGTGCCGTGTATCTCGACAAGCCTCCCATACGTAACACAACGCATCGACGTTCGCGCAGTTTACTTGTAAAATGTACAATTACGATGATTATCGCGTGACATCGCGATATCAAGCCGTGCAGAGATACGGTGTCACTCCAGTTATTGTTTCATAAATATTTCACGGACTCGCGAGAAGTTCTCCTCTGACCCTGTACTTGCGTGTCGAACAGACCATAGATTATTACAGGATGAGGATCGAATCGATAGAGATTTCATCGAGATATAACCTAGTGTTTAACCTATTTCTCACGGATATACGTGTAGGAGCGTTGGAAAAATGACAGGGCCCAAGCGGGATTCGAACTCACGACCCCCACATCGCCGAAAGCAGAGACTCTACCCACTGCTCCAGGGAACCCTCCTACTCTCCAAAGATGTTATTCGCTCTTTTGTTGGGTATGTATCGGTAGACACGTGAAAGATTTTCGTCGAATCTATCAATGACACACACATAGCAGATCTTAGGGATCGCAAAGCAATTTCTCTAAATACTTAGTAATTTTTAAATTACATATATGGGGCTATGAGTTAGATTAGAAAAAAA